CAGATGGAAATAGGTGCTTGGAGAAAAGTAAACAGGATAAAGAGGATAGGGAGAGCAAAGATGGGGGCTTGCTATATGAAAAGGGTGGTCTGGGAAAGATTCGCCAACACGATAACATTTGAGCAGCAACTGGAAGGAAGTGAGAGCAGGGGAAAGTGGCGGTGGTAGGAGATAAGGGCTGAGAGCTAGTTGTGCTGAAGGGCTGGGGATGGATCATGGGAGGCTTTGTAAGGACGCTAGCTGCCCTGAAGCCCTCGTGCGTAGCTAGCTGCATCGGAATAATCTGGAGTTTGTGGGTAACACAGTTTCTCGGGCAGCACCCCAGTACCCCAGTAGGTCAGTCTGATACCCAGCCAACTTTGGGAACCGTGCCACACCATACTGCTTCTAAGTGGGAGAAGCATGCCTGTGTAGGGAGTGTTTAGCACTGTCTTTTAGGGGTGACAGACCAAACATAGACTGTGGAAGTTTCTAATGTGGTTAATGTCCTTTATTATTAGGGTAAGGGTGGGTTGGGGAGTTTAAGCTGCTGCTGTGGCCCAAGGAAGATATCAGGGGTGATTTGGGGGGGAAGACATGGAGGATACTCCCTGTCCCCTCTACCTCCTGTCTACTCCAGTACTCCTTGGCCTCTGTCTGCTTAGGCATCCCTCTCCTTGCTAGCACAATCTCAGCTCCTGTCAGCTGGTCTTTCCTGGACTCTGGCTGCTCTGAGGCCCTGTTGCCTGGTGGACTGCATCAGAATCGTCTACACCTGCTACTCAGCCCCTGGGCTCCAAGTGCTGGAGACCCACTGTGTGCTAGGCACTGAAGATAGCAACATTATAGGCAAAGCGTACCTCCCTTCAAGAAGTTCACAAGCGCAGGGGAGAGGTACCACTAGAATATCAGCTCCTTAAGGGCAAGGATTTTTATATGTTTTTACTTATTTTAGAGCCTAGAACCATGCCTGGCACATAATAGATGCCCAATAAATATTTGTTGAAAAATGATATTAACAGCATATTATAAATCTATGATTAGGTAAAACGCTGATGAAAAAAATCAAAGAAGACCTAAAGAAATGGAGAGATATAACATGTTCACGGAT